ATTAATTTTTATTTGAATGATCACTCTGTTGGTTATTTTACCATGTATTACTTTGGAAGGCGTTTGTCTTTCAAACACATTAAAATGCACAAATTAAAAAAATTTTTGTCATCTGATCCTCTTTCACCTATTATATTTTTATTTGAAGTACCCCTGAGATTTTAAAATAAATATTTTAATAATAAAGTATCACATTTGCATGTTAATGGCTCTCTGACGTCTCTAATGTTTTAATTTAACATTTTTATGATTTAATAAATTATTAGCTTTTTATTAAACTCATAAACCCCCTGCAGTTCCTTCACAAACCCAGTTTGGATAACCTTGACGTAATATAAAATATGGTACATATTGTTCTATTTAAATCAAACATAAAAAAACGAGATAGGTCAAAAGTAATCTAAAAGTAATCTGATTATATTGCCTTAAATGTTTAATGTAATGGATTGTTACTAACTACAAATTTTGTCATGTAATTTGGAATCAGTAACGGACTACAATTTGTAAGTAATCAACCCAGCTCTGGACATACAGTACCTCTTTAAAAAGCTTTAGCAGGTTGCGTTTGCCAACTGCTTCCTCATTTTGCTGATCTTTGGTGAGCCGGATGAAATCCCGGCACCTCTGGGGTTTTAGGCACATCTGGGCGAAGATGCGACCATCCAGACTACTGAAGATCATGTTGAGGGAACGAGGCAAGATGCCTGGATCAGTAACCGGACCTAATACATCAAAACACCATCAGAACATAATTCTTGAATTTGAGTATTTTACAAAAGCAAATCACTGTTAAAGTCAGCACAGTACAGAAATTCAAGCTTTGTATTTTGTAAATGCATCTTAATTATGCATTATCTTATTATTAATGATTCATTCATTCATGCATGCTGTGTTGATACATTTTTTGACCTTGTAATTAAGTATTATTCAAAATGTCACAAGGCACATTCAGATCTGCCTCCATTCAATTAAAGGTCACATATTGTACACCTTTCTGGAGTTTTATTTTAGGTTTTGATGTCCTTAAGAATATATACAGTGGGTACGGAAAGTATTCAGACCCCCTTAAATTTTTCACTCTATTGTGGCTGGAACAATAATGTAGCTGTAAAAATAGTTGCCTGCTGAAATTGAAATGTATATACATCTTCATCATGACTTGATAGACACGGTGAGTTTGTCTTTACTATACACGTTAGATGTGATCCACCTCATAGTAACAATCCTGTCAGATCGTCCATCCTTTGAGCGAGAGTGTAATGTTACAGGTCGGCTGATCTGGTTTCATGGTTAAAGTTAACCTTTTCGATATGTTTCCGTGTTGTCGTTACTCAGCAATAGCATGGACCTGATGTTGTCTGGGGGTTTGGCAAAAGGAGAGTGGGACGGTGGGCGGTGCTTGGGGTGGTGACTGTGTAGTTCGGTTCGTGAAAAATCACAGCTACTTTATGCAGGCTGTGTGCAGTTTACTGTGGACTGACTGTTTTGAAACTTATACGGTAGTTAAATAGCCCCTAGACCTCAGTTATCGTGAAAAAAGCCAGGAAATTTCAGTTTTGACAATATGGGACCTTTAACCAATGGATAGAACCCCTGGAGAAAATGGATAGCCCTTCTTGCCCTTCTTTTTATTTTTGATGCGGAACAAATGATCCATCGCTACTTCTGTTTACTTCTGAATTAACACAGACACTCTTTTACATGGTTGGTCTGATCGAAACTGACCTCAATTTACTGACCCTACTTCATATTCCCTGCCTTTATTGTGTTCTTCTTCAGAGAAAAAGAAAAAAAAAAGTTTGTAATCTTTCATTGAAATAACAACTTTTTGCTTCGGAAACAACTTTTGCTTCTTGTTCAAATTAAAATGGGTTGTGGTCTTGTGGAGCATTAACACGTTGACTTTTAAGCTCTATTGACAACATTTGTGGCATTATGTCAATTACAACAGAAAATAATTCAGTCTATCAATACAATAAGAAAAACAAAATAAACAAACCTAAAAAAGTGAAGGTCTTCCCAGCATTGGTGATACCGTATGTAAAGACCAGAGAGTTTTGTCCCTCTAGCACATCCCTCACAAGACCCTTCACTGTGCCATCAAACATCTCCTTCTGGGTAGTGTCTGGACCATAAACCTAAAAATACCACAATGTTGATATCACCTTGTGAATAATCTGTCAGACAAAACCAAGTTATGTGCATGACTCAAGACAGAGCACAACATTTGACCTCAAACAGTATTTCCAAAGACAAATTTGAAGATTCTTCAGGATGGTTAAATAGGGAAAACGTAATCAGTCACAATCTAGATGGTTTGTGCTGATGGGTCTGCTTGCCTGAGAGAACTGGAAACGTTGAGCTGTAACTGGCACTGATTTATCACTGAGCCTGGCAGAAAGAGATGATTGTGGAGCTTTGAAGAGCACAGTCTCTGGAGGCTGAATGGCCACACAGTCCTTCAAAAACAGAGAGAAGACACCGACTAATCATTTTATTTAGAGGCAATATTTGAAACAGATTTTCAGGGGCTTTTTCCCTTTAAAATATTTTTCCTAACCCTATAAAAAAATTCTACATGAGGGTCTGCATTTTAGGGTGCTTAGTGTGTGCAGTATCCCTGAACCATTTATTCCTTATTTTCACCTGTGATTCTCCATTCTCAACCTCAGCTGATGAAAATGGTCTTATCCTAAGATACACCTTCAAATGTTCCTTCTCCAGGTCAGACTGGTCCTTCAAAAGAAACATCAAGGCTCAAAACATTTCTGTTGATTGTTTCATTAATCACAATGTAAAAATAACACTTTATTCTGTAGTATTGTTCATGGCTGGTGTTCTGACAAATAATGCTACCTATCAGATTATGCTAGCAACACTGTATTTATCCTACTGTAAGGGTAGGTTTAGGTTTAGGGTTGGGGTAACTGTTAGGTGTACATGTTAATAAAGCCTCACACCTTATTAATATCATGCTGGAAGCAAAATCTGATAGGTAGCACTTTTCGCTATCGAATTATGCTAACGTTACCATCTGTTTTAATGGGAGGTAGCAAAATCTGACAGGGTATCACAAATCGTCAGAACACCGGCTGTCATCTTACCTGGAAATCTGAACACTCGCTGAAATCTGAGGACAGATTTCTTCTTAAATCTTCCGCAGCTATCATGTCCGGTCTTGCCATATCATCCTTTAGCCCTGATTCCATCATATTGCTCTAAAAAAACATATGAGAAGACATAACGTAAAAGAGCATGATGAAATAACAGCCTCTGGTTTACCGAGAATAACTATGACAACCCTTTAATCACATCTGATGGTAATTATACAGGTCCTATATATTTTAGCATTTTGTCAATTGTATAATCTCATGTTCATTTTAACAGACAATTACACAATTTTATATATTTTATAAGTCAATCTGACACACAAAAAATGACATTAACAACCACCCGAACTGACAAACTCACAAATAAGAAAAGGACAGCAAAACATGCTCATTAAAACAAGTTAACTTGGTTGACTTACAGGGCTGTGAGTGGGTAATGTGTATTATATTGTTTTTAACTCGGCGGTTGTGTTTATTCGTCTTGCCTCATCTTCCAAACTGTCGCTCGTACTTATTTTCAAATTCCACCAATCGGATAAGCGAGAGCAACCGCAAAGGATGCTGGGAGCGCGTGCTCGTGCACGTCACAGTGACGTTACATATGCGCAGAAGGTGGACTGCGCATAAAAAATAAAATAAAAATAAAAAAAGGTGGACTGCGCATTTCTCATAACTAGATTGCTGCTTGTTTGTACCTATACAGACTATGGTTTGTACACAGTTGTTTGGTGTGCTTTTTCGATTTGTTATTTCATCTCTTAAGTTGTGTTTTAAGTGTAATTTGTGTAATTCGTAGAAATACGTTTTTCTAGATCTATGCAATATAATGCACATTCAAAATACAAGAATAGGCTAAATAATAACAACATACAAATACAAATATTCCTACATTAAAATACCAAACCAAAGTACATTGCAAAGTAATTACATCAGCAAGTAATAAAAGATAATAAGCGAACAAGAAGATAGAAATGTACCCTAATAGAATTAAAAAAAAAAAAAAAAACAAGCTCTGCAAAACAAGAAGGAATGTCAATCATGATATAGCTATTCTTGTCTAGATATCTTTATTGTTAATAGACGTTGAGGCCTAAATACAAATTCAGTTCTTGCTTGGAGACATTAAAGTGGCATTTACAGTTTGTGTATATAAAGAATGTAAAACTTAACAATAAACAGATTTAAGTTTATAGGTTTACTGTCCATATTTTTGTCATTAATATATAAGAGGGAATGGCAGAGGATCCCCAAATCCATGTGTGAAAAACTTGTTGCATCTTTCCCAAAAAGACTCATGGCTGTATTAGATCAAGAGGGTGCTTCTACTAAATACTGAGCATTTTTCAGTTTTTCTTTTTTAATAAATTTGCAAAAATGTCAACAATTCTGTGTTTTTCTGTCAATATGGGGTGCTGTGTGTACATTAATGAGGAAAAAAAATTAACTTAAATGATTTTAGCAAATGGCTGCAATATAACAAAGAGTGAAAAATTTAAGGGGGTCTGAATACTTTCCGTACCCACTGTATGTCTTATATAAAGAAGTCACATAAAACTGTCAGGAAACACTTGGTGGCTCATACCAAAACACTGTATTCACGTTTCAAGTGATTCACAATAATTACATTTAAGGGTTTAAAAGAAAGATTTACAAAACACATATACCAATGCACATTTCACAAGGGATGTCCATGTACCCAGTGCCAAAGTCTTTCACAAATCCAGTCCATAATTACATAACAATTACAATAATATCCATCATAATAAACATTCTCAGACCAGCATTCACATTCTGTTCCATTTCTAAACACTTGTACTTCTGACTCCAATCTGTCAACATTTTTTTCAGTAGCTCAAACTGCCATGGACATTTTTAAAATGCAGTCACGTTATGAAATTTAAATAATATTAAATAATTACCCTGAACAAGCAAACAAACATACAACCACTCACAAATGTTCATGCCTTGCGCCACTTACCGAAGATTCTTTGCTCTCAAAATCAAATGAGACAAGTAAGAAAACAATATTTACAAATAACCTCATCAATATTTCAGACACTCTATCGCCAGCAATTAGCGTCATCATTATGAATATTGCAAAGTACTGTTAAATTTAACATTTAATATGAAAGAAAGAAAGAAAAAAAGAAAAACCATTTTATAACACTTCAGCATTGAGATGGATGTTGAAAAGTTGTACATTTGGATTTGGTGCTTCTTCTTCATTAAAATTATTCAGGATGTTTTTCACACCTTTTTGCCATGAAAGCAGAGTCTCCATTGGTGTCTTTCCATCCTGTAAATAACAGATAATTTTAGGATATATCCACTAAAATATACCCATTTAAACAGATTTACTAAGACTTCTGAGAAACACGGTATGAGACAAATCTTTTTGCACTGGCTATCTGCATTGTTACTTAGTTATAAAAGAATCAAGCATTCTAAATCTTTTTGCTTATCATATTTTTGATATTGTGGAGAGTCAGTAAAGAATCCTGTAGTGCCTCAATCTGTCTCTAGAGGGCAGCATGTAAACTTCAACGTCATATAGTAAGGATTGTATGGACTCTAATTGAACTTACATTGTTTTTGGCATTTAGACTGGCTCCATACATCATCAGCAGTTTTATCATTTTAAATCTGTTTATCCTCACTGCGTCGTGCATTGGGGTGTCTCCCTCCTACACAAACAAAATGCATTGGCATAAGAGAAGAAGAACTAAATGTGGGAAAATGCATTAATATCTTAAATTTGCTGTTAAAAAAATGCACAAAAAATGAGACAAATCTTTTTGCACTGGCTATCTGCATTGTTACTTAGTTATAAAAGAATCAAGCATTCTAAATCTTTTTGCTTATCATATTTTTGATATTGTGGAGAGTCAGTAAAGAATCCTGTAGTGCCTCAATCTGTCTCTAGAGGGCAGCATGTAAACTTCAACGTCATATAGTAAGGATTGTATGGACTCTAATTGAACTTACATTGTTTTTGGCATTTAGACTGGCTCCATACATCATCAGCAGTTTTATCATTTTAAATCTGTTTATCCTCACTGCGTCGTGCATTGGGGTGTCTCCCTCCTACACAAACAAAATGCATTGGCATTAGAGAAGAAGAACTAAATGTGGGAAAATGCATTAATATCTTAAATTTGCTGTTAAAAAATGCACAAAAATAGTCAATTTAAAATTAGATTACTATACATTATATATCAAATAATATATTATATGAACGTTACCATATTAAAAATTCTGAATGCTTTGGAAAATATTTGAAAAGAGCGCAAAAAGAATTCTTACCCTGTCTTTCGCATTTACATCAGCTCCACAGTGAATAAGATGCTCAGCACATTCGTAATGTCCCGTCCGAACTGCAACATGGAGGGGTGTGCTGCATAGCTGAAGATACACAACAAGAGTTTTGGTTAGTACATTTTGTGCTAAGAGTGCAAACTACAGTGCTGCCAGAGGCACACTGAAAACTTTAAAAACAAGAAGGATAAAAATTGCTTCATCATTGTTTGCTACCAAAACTTTAGTATGAAAAGCATGAGAATGATTTGTGAATGTTATTATCACTGTCCAAAGATCCATCTGGTGACATATGTTTGCAGGATCTTTCTATCTACCTTGTCTCTGGAGTTGAATTTGGCTCCTTTATTGAGAAGCAGCTCCAGGGCAGGCAGGCTTCCACCTCTACATGCCCAGTGCACAGCTGTGGCATCCAGCTATGAACATGCGATAAAGAAATTGCATCTCAGAATTATAATAAAAAATAAATGTGAGATAATATTCTTGCAGCACTGGTGTAACAGTCATATCCACCATCTGTGCTACCTTGTCTTTTTGATCCATGGATGCTCCACTCTCCAGGAGCTTCTGCATGATCTCTATGTGACCTTGGGCACTGGCTTTATGCAGAGCTGAGCGCTTAAACTGAAAGAAAGAGAACAAGTGAGAGTCAGTATTGATATTGTTAACAAAAACTGTTAATTTTTTGATTGTTAATTGAAATTAAGAGGATAAAAATCTAAATATTAGATAAAAAACCTAAAAAACTAAAACTCAAAATGTTTAAGTATAAGTTGAAGTTGAAGAACCAAAATAACTAAAACTAAAGCTAAAATAAAAATGAATTCAAAGTAAATATTACAACAACAAAAAAACATTACTGCTATATTATAGTATATAAATAATACTAACTATCTTCTCTAATACATTAGAAGCTGTTGCCCCCATCAAATTAAAAAAGGTTAGAGAAAAATGTACTGTGCAATGGTACAACAGTAATACCCATTCTCTCAAGAAAGAAACTCGTAATCTTGAGCGCAAATGGAGAAAAACTAACTTGGACGTTTTTAGAATTGCATGGAAAAACAGTATGTCCAGCTACAGGCAGGCTCTAAAAGCTGCCAGGGCCGAGCATATCTGCAAACTCATAGAAAATAACCAAAACAATCCAAGGTTTTTATTTAGCACAGTGGCTAGATTAATGAATAATCAGACGCCAACCGATCTAAATATTCCCTCACAGTTTAATAGTAATGACTTTATGAATTTCTTCACTGATAAAATAGATAACATCAGAAATACAATAACAAATGTAGATTCTACAGCTGTCACGTGTGTTTTCCTGTTTAGTTCCTGTTTGTCCTTATTTGGTCCTTCCAGTTCCTTTTCCCATTATTAGTAATCACCTGTTCCTTGTTATTAGTTATCCTCATCACCTGTCTGCCCCTCGTTATCTGCCCTATTTGAGTTCGAGCCCGTTCTGTTCTCCCTTGTCTGGAATCGTTCATGTCAACCTTGTTTTTCTGTTTCCTTTTGATTATTAAAATTTGTCAAATTCTCCTACGTCTCCTTTGCTCCTACACAGCAGCAGTTCCGTGACAGAATTCCAGACCGACATAAAGTGAGCGGCGCCTTTCCTCCCCGTGTTTCTTTTCCGTTTTTGAAAAGTTTTTTGTTTCTCTGTTTTCCCTGGCGGCAATGGAAACCGCCGCACTATTTTCGGCCCTAGCCCGCAGAGATCTCCCATTTGAGGACTATGCACGGGAGTTCTGCGGGCTCGCCGTGTATACGGCGCTGGATGATGCGACGCTCAACTCTTTGTTCTGGATCGGGGCTAATTACCATCGCCCGTGGACCTCTCAGATCAGACCCGTAGGCCGCCACTGACTTAGCGCTTCTGGACATGGCGCTGCCTCCGGAGTTCTCGGCTCCTGTCCTCGCCCCGGAAATCATCCCCGGAAAGCTCTCCTTCGTCTCCACTGGTCCCGTCCAGCCCTCCTTCATTTCCTGATTCCCCCGAGTTAACCAGCCTTGCACCTCCAGAGCGCCCTCCAGTGTCCGCTCCTCCAGAGCGCCCCCCAGGATTCCTAGTTTTCCCCAAGAAATTTTTTTTGGGTGGGGCCATATACCCGTGGCCGAACCAGCTAAGGCCACGGAGGATCCGCCATGGCCTCCTGAGTCTCCTGATATGCCATGGCCTCCTGAGTCCCCTGATCCACCATGGCCTCCTGAGCTGCCAGCTCCGCCATGGCAACCTGAACTCCCTGATCCGCCATGGCTTCCCGAACTGTCTGCTCCGCCATGGCCCCCTGAGTCTCCTGATCCGCCATGGCCCCCTGAACTCCCAGATCTGCCCTGGAGGCTCTCCTGGTCTCCGCCCTATTCCTGTCCTGCACCAGTCTCCAGGGTGATCATGTTTACTAGATCCTGTACCCACTAAATTACTGAAAGAGTTGTTACCTGTAGCAGAAGAACCGCTTCTCAATATTATTAACTCGCCGTTATCTTTAGGTCACGTCCCAAAACCATTCAAGCTGGCGGTTATTAAGCCTCTTATTAAGAAACCACAACTAGATCCTAGTGAACTGGCAAATTACAGACCCATTTCAAATCTTCCGTTTATGTCTAAAATTTTAGACAAAGTTGTGTCTGCTCAATTGCGCTCCTTCTTGCAAAACAAATTAGCCCTATGAAGAATATCAGTCAGGTTTTAGGCCCCACCATAGCACAGAAACTGCACTTGATAAAATTACAAATTACTTGCTTCTTGCGTCAGACCAAGGCTGCATCTCATTGCTAGTTTTACTTGATCTTAGTGCTG